ATTACGCTTCACGTAATAATTATCCGTAACTTCTATTCTTTCCCGCTTCACAGCATTATTTATATTTGTTAAAAAATGTGAGAATACCAAGAAAATACCACTAAGAATACCAAATGGTATTCATCAAAAAATTCGGAGTTTTTTCTGAAAATTTTAAAAATAACGATGAAGATAGTTTTAAAGAATTTTTTTATATTTTTTTCCATAAAGAACATTTAATAACAAAAATTTTGAAAAAAAAAACGTCCCGATAAGCCAATTTTTGAAAAAGTTATGGCAATTTAAAAATAAAAAAGCGGTTTTTTTGAAAAATTCGGAACTTTTTTTTGGTTGGGTAAAAAAATTTGAAAAAATTATGAGAGACGTTTTTGATAGGGTAGAAAAGGATGGTAAACTTTCAGCCAAATCAAAAGGGGTCAGGGTCAAAAGTGGTTGATTTGGCGTGAAATGCCCCATATATAATTTTCTTAATTTTATATTTATTTTATAGAGTCTTCTATCGATTTCTCATAGGGTTTTCAGGATCTACAAAAAAAAATCTAGAAAGTGAAACAAAGACTACAATTAAAATTCCATCTATTGGATCTACAGAAAATAATATTGGTACTTATAATCATTTATTTATAAATAAGTTTATTTGGCTACATTTTTAATTATGTTATCAATTATCATTTACTAGTGATTATTGGAAAAAATCGATCAAGCGTGATATCATGTCGTCAAAGAATCGACTTAATAGTAGAATCTTCAAGGAAAAAACTTTCGTTTACTCATTTTGTCTCAATCCCATTAGATTATGAAGTTATTATCAATAATTTTAAAAAATTTAAAAACGAAATTCTTAATGACTCTGAGTTGAAGTTCAGTGGACTTTCAGAAGAGTTTTTTGTTAGTCCTAATAAACTTCATTTAACTATTGGAATGTTATTGTTAGTTGACGACAAAGAAAAAAAAAATGCTATAGAAACACTCGATGCTTGCGTTAAAAATATTATCAAGTAAGTTTTATGAACTGTTAATTATAAATATTTTGTTCTAAAATTTTGATTTAATCTTATGAAATAATCTAACTTTCGATAAATTCTTTTTAGTTTTTTTTTTTTTCGCTTTTAGAATCAACTTGTCACAAAAATAAATTAAATAAAAATTTTAACCTTTTCAATTGATTTTTTAGACCTATTTTGAAGGAAAAAGGACCAATAAATATAAAAATTCAAGGTCTAGAAATAATGAATGATGATACGGAAAAAGTCAAGGTACTTTATGGTAAAGTGTTCAAAAATGATACACTCCAAGAAATTGCCAATAAAACTCAAAACTTTTTCGTTGAAAAAGGTAAGTTAAAGGCTGGTATGATGGATTTTAGTTAATGCATATGAATTTTCTGAAAAAAATTAGTTTAATTTTGTTCTTTTATTTCAGAACTCATGAGTATTCAATATACTGAAATAGTAAATTTGCATATGACGTTAATAAACACAAGCCGTGTAATAGATAAAAGTAAAAAGTATTCCAAAGCTCCTAATTTTGATGCGACAAAAATATTAAAAGTAAAGCTAAATATATAATAACTTTACATTCAAAAAGTTTATTATTCTTATGTTAAATAATTATTATAATTTTTTACAGAAATATAAAGATTACTATTTTGGAGATTCAAAGTTGGAAAAAATTAATATTTCTATAAGAAATGTGAATAATGAAGATAACAGTTATGAAAAATTGACAGAAATTAATTTGTCAACGTAATAAGGTGTGCATTTATGTAATAAAATCGATTATAAATGCAAAGTTATGTATTTAATATACAGCAATTATTATTTTTCATCAATAAATAAAATTTGTACTACGTTTTTTTTTGTTTTTTTTTTTTTTTCTCAAGAAAATTATATTCTTTCAACGGCAACTCCTTCAATTTATAAATTCTATCTTTATTTTTAACTGCCAGCAATTAAGTACAAACTAATAAATAGGTTTTAAGGATAATTGAAAAATGTGTACTATAAATTTTAAACAAAAATTAAAAAAAAAAGTTATGAACAAGAGAAAATTAACATGAAAACTGTCCGTACACCGGAGGGCCAGTTTTTTAATCCAGGATAAAATTTTATCCAATGATAAAATATATCTATATATTTCATATATATAAATATACTGGCAATAATAATTTTATTCTGGATAAAATTTTATCTCGGATTGAAAAACTAGCCCTGAAGTTATTATTATTTTATTTATAGTTCAAATATTTTTTCATTAGTCATAAACAAATATGGCTACGCAGTTAATAAATTTGTTCTTGCAAAAAAGCGCTATGATGTTCAGTCGTCAAGATCGCTTCTTTATTATAACGACGTTATTCCAACCAAGCACGCTAATTATTATTATTATTAAAATTTAAATGCTGAATTAAATAATTTTTTTGAGTGATTTCAACTCTTATCTTATCATATTATTTGAGTGCAATCATCAACATTAACAATATGATTACAATGATATGACACTTGGCGTAATGTCTGAAGTAGAAAATCTCTTAGTCATATAAAATATTTTACGGAAAATGTCAATTAATGTGAAGTTATTAACTAGATTTTTAAATTTTAGAATACGTATAAATTAAAGATTGTTCAATTAATCTGCAAAATCACAAAGAAAGAACTATATCAATTTTTAATAAATTTTTAAAATGTACTATTTTATTATATTTTTTTGTAACATATAAATTATCAATGTTTTCAGAAATCGTCGTTTCCTACTTTAATCATCATCAAAATTCAATGTTTGTCTCATATGTTTATACTAAATATTTATAAAAAATAATTGTTAATCTTAAATAATCAACTAAATAAATAAATTGCGCCACTCTAATTTTCAATAAATTATCTATTTGTCATGAATTTTTATAATGAAATGAACTCATCAATCATATTAAATTTATAACGAATATTTTTTTTATGTATTACATTTACATTTAATATAAATTAAAACATCAGTTTGTTTATTATTTGTTTTTTAATCATTTAGTTGATTATTTGAATTTATTTTTTCATTACCACAATGATAATAATAAGCTTATCACGTGCTTCAAGATTGATTTGCATACAGCTAATTTATTCATCACATTATTTATTTCATCAATAATAAAATGCTTTCTTATCAATGGAACAATTAAAAATTTTTTTAATTAATTTTATAATAAGTATTAATTAAGTATTTTTTGTTGCTTTTTTTTTCAGTAATACAATAAAATGCACGGAGCAAAACGAGTTATTATATTTTGCTTACTTACTACTATACTACCAATTTCGCTTATAATTGTACCATTATATCTAAGACATAATTTATATGCAAATGTCGCTTATCTTGTGAATGAATCTGATGTTTTGGAAATTTCTGATGGAATATCAACGATATTTTGTTCTGTAAGTTATTATTAAAAATTTTTTTTTTTTATTGCAAGAAGATTGTTTAAATAACATTAATTCTATTGATTTTCAGGCGCATACATTAGAAATGAATGGAACCTTCAATGCTTTTCAAATGAGCCATAGACCTGAAATAACGACCAGCCGTAAACATTTAAGATTGAAAAAAAGTATGAATTTACCTGACGATACATTAGAATATTGGGGTTTTTATTTGTTACGAGGAGCAAGTGTTGGTTTAAGTGTATGTTCCAGGTAATATAGTATTTTATTAATAACTATTTACTTTCAATTTTTAATAGAATATTATCAAATAGATTAATTATAAATAGTAATATTGCAAATCAACAGGTTTCCCGGCGCGTCAATACTAGTTGTTAAAGGTGAAAAAATATTACGAACATGTGGAATGTTAGACCATAATAAAAATAAAGCGCGCACAACTGGAATTTTTTTGCCTGAAGCACATGATCAAGTAAAAATAACATTTGAATCCGATGCTCGAGAAATAGAATCCGAAGAATTAGCTACGTCTACTTTATCATCAACATCATTACCAAAATTGCCGCCTAATATTACAAATAAATATATTCAAAATATTTTAAAAGCTCGGATGGAATCAAATCCAACACGAAAATTAAGACATACTCGAAAACGGCTGAAAAAACAGCCAAAAGAACAGAATAATAAAACTAAAAAGAAAGTAAATAATAAACAAAATCACCAAAAGACATCTAAACTGTTAAAAGATTTAAATTATTTTGATAGTAATACTGCTAGCGAAGAAGATGATAGAGGTATAAAAATAATAACTTCTCATTATCATCATCGCGTAAAAAGAAATCAAGAACCAGTTAAACCACCAGAATTACTTGATCAAGGCATTCAACACGGTGGTAATGCGTTAAGGAATCTTACAGACGATGAAGATTCTTCGGTATCAAGCTTTGAGGAAGGTTTACTGAATTGTTACGGAGGTCAAGTTCTTTTACAACAAGAATTTGAACCATCAGATTTATGTATTAACGTAAGCTATTTAGAAACCGCTAAACATATGCAGTCAAAACATTCTGTTATGGAAGACGGATACTATTATTATATTTTTTATAGTGATAATGATTTTGTATTCAATGATATTCACGCAGTATTTGATATTTATAAACCAACATTTCAATATGAAGATTTTGTTCACCGTTGTGTAAATAAAACAACGTGCACTTTTCCATTGACCGTTTTATCATCAGATAGAGTTATTGTTGAAATGCCTACTAAAGATGGGATAGATCGTCAAGAAGACGATATTTCATTGTTGATATCTGTTTGTCATCCACGTATGGGAATGTATATAATTTTTCCCATAGCTGTGCTATTTTCAATTCTTTCTTGTGCATTTCTTTAAACTATTATTCATTAGAATTACAAGATATGAAAACAAAAAAAAGCTTTGAACTGAAGCGAAGTTGTCTCTCCGAGCTGAATGTGATTAAGCCATTTGAAACGAATCAAATACGTTTAAAATTAAAATTAATGGCGCATTAAGTGTCAACTTAGCTGGTATAATAATATAAGCTTATTCCACAAGATCTGTAGGACTTTATGAAATTGACATGTTGATAGAGTATATAAATGAGCAATAATGAATAACAAGATGAGTTTCAATGTTGATGTAAAATATTTTATACTTTACATTCATCAAGATGATGTTCTACGTTTTTTATTGATGGAGTATAATATGCAGTTGCAGTTATTAATGAATAATAATAGCATTGAAGATATATTTTGTGCACTGAAATTTTATAATAAACAATCATTATCGTGATATAACTATACACCTTTGTATCTGCAATAATAAATTTTATACAAAATTTAATCACATCTATAATGATTAATTATACACCAAACTAAAAATATTATTTCTAAAAATTATGAAGCGATAGTGAAGCATTATATGCTAAAAACATGCAAAACAAGTCTTACTTTATTTACTATAGAATTACTCTTGTTGAATATTATCAATGAAAAATTCGATTCGGATAATTGCAATTTTTATGTTACTCATTTATGTATAGTGATAAGAATTTTACTTCACAATTACCTTCAAATTTGATTTATTTATTTTTAATTTCAATGGGAAAGCTATTTTTTATTTATTTGTCTATTCTTTTTTTCCAAAAGTATATGAGTTTCTTAAATATTTTTTTTTTAGTTAAAAATAAATGTTATTAATTTATATATTCTAATTTTATATACATTATAAAGCATAAATAAAAAAATCTAAATTTCTAGATCTTTTAGGGATATTATTACTTTATATAAATATACAAGGAGATAAACAGAGGGAAAATGCACCTTAAGTTCGCTAAGAGAGCAATAAATTATGAAGAACGAATTCTGAAGTCCAGAGAGAGTGGGATAGTAAGAGAATGCATAAAAGAAAGAAGAAAAGGTAAAGGTGATAAGGAAAGGCTGAAAGAAAGGCAGAATTTTCTGCACAACTGTGGATATAGCCAGGAAGGACTGGAACAGCTAAGCGCAACGGGAGCCAACGTCGGAGAAACATTAAGAAGTAGAGGAAAGGAGTTACAAGGACAGGTGCATTACAACAAATTAGAGGACACGAGATACAATGGTAAATACAAAAATTTGATAAAAGGAGAGTTACCAAAATACCTCACAGGCTGGAATAAGGGTTATGACCAAAAATTATTAGCACAAACAAGATGTGGGAGTTTGGAAAAGGTAAACAAATACTGGTTGCCGAAAGAAAAAAAGAGTTGTGACTTATGTGGTGAAGAAGAAGACTCTATAGATCATTGGAGAGAAAACTGTAGAAAAATAGAAAGAACAAGCCTATCGAAAGAAGAGATCCTGAGTGGCAGGTACGAGAAGAGAGTTCTGGACTGGTTGCGGGTTATTGACAAATGGAAAAAAAAAAAGGAGAAGAAAATGGTCTCAGTGCAAGTCAAAGCAAGTGTGTAAATTTCGTGAAAATATCCCAAAGTGTAAATAATCAAAGACTATTAAGAATTTAAGTATTTTGAGTATTTTGAGAATTATAAGAATCTAAGATTTGAATTGAATTGAATTTAATTTAATTAAAGAACTTAAGAGTTAAGAATATATGTTCTAGTTTTAACGTATTAACTAACTAAATTGAAGTTTATATGTCAATAAGAGAGTTGTTAACTATGTATTTTTATACTAAGTCCATTTCTAGGCCGTCAGGCTGAAATAAAAAATAAATATACTTATATAAATATAAGATTACTTTTAATTTTACTTACAGTGTATTAAAATTAAATTATCAATCCTGAAATTTATTATTAAATTTCAAAAATTATCTCGATTATGATATTATTGCTGGGAAGAGGTCGATTACCTATAGACCAATTAGTCAGATTACCGGTGACTTAGATCCCGATTACCTAGATTCCCATAACCCAGAATCCGATTACCCAAATTATCAATGAGGTAGATTACCGATTACCTAGAATTCCGCATGAGTTGGAGTCCGATTGCCTATAATTATTATTGCTCACTGTTTTCCATATGTAGAGAATAATAAAAATAGTTCTTTCCGTTTATAGTTTCATTGATTTACATTGTATTCAAAACTATTTTGTTAATTCCGTAAAAAAATCTGGTAAAAAAAATACATGTAAAGACTATAAAGACGAACTGTATTACATTCATATAAGTAATATTGTTTTAACTTTCAGTTCTTTTGTTTCAGCAAAATTAATTACCAATGAATCTCAAAGGAAGAGTTTTAAATCTGAATATAGAATTGGCAAACTTTTAAAAATGATCTTGATAAGTCGAAATTTTTTTGCATATCATTGACTAATTTTTATAAAAGCTTTTAATAATAACAAAAACAATTATTTCCATGTCGATGTATAATTATTAAATATAATTTGATGAATCCGACGAATTCAGGGTGCAATTATTTCTCACTGTTAGTCAAAATTTTTTTATTGCTTCTTTGTTGTAAATAAATTTTAATTAGCCCGCGTATCTTACTCTTTGTTTTTTGCAAAGGACTTCGGGTAAAAACGCGATTTCCCCCTCTGCGCAATCAAACGTCAAAATTTACCTTGTAAAATAAATGAAATTAGAGAAAAAATATCTTTAAATCAGCAGTCAACTATTTACAATACTCAATCAATAATTTTTTAATTCTTTTAACTAATAATTTAATAATAATTATGGCGAATTTTAGTATTTTTATTATAATTAAATCTAAAAATTTTGTACACTAGCGCCATTACGCGGTATTTATATGATAAGAATATTCCCGGTGACGCAATAAGAATTCGTCCTTTCCGTCGCGTATCTGTGAGTGGAACATGTCGTATACGTCTGATAGAAGGCAAGTTCTATTTTTTTTTATCCATTAGAAACTTAATAATAATATTATTACTGTCAAAACATTTTATTGCAATTCAATAAATCTTATTGCCATTAATTTAAATTTGATAGCACATACACTGTCAGTAATATCATAATGTTTTATCCGCAATTTAGGATTGCACGGGGTATATACACTATCAACATGGCGTGCCGTGAACTTTTTGTCACATTGTACGAGAAAATTGGCGGCTATTATATTATATTTATTTATTTTTCCAAACTTCACATGATTTTTAATTGCTAATTACGATACAAATTTTGCAAATATGACATTTTAAAAAAAACTATCACATGACGTATTTAAATTTTTTTTCACAAAAATGTTTCGTTAATCCACTAAAACGTGCATGCTTTCGTTTATTTTTTACCCATGCTTGCGGTAATTCATATTTTTTATATTATCTATCCTTATCAAATTTATTGATTAAAATAATTCATCCACTAAAAGTTGGGAATATTCGCCATATAATTTATTGTTTAATCATAATAATAGTTTTCATTGAATTTGACATAGTTTTTGTAGTAATCATTTTTTTTTTTTTGTCATAAATTGTCAATAAGTCATCGTAGCCATGGTTTTGTAGGCCTTATGAGTCACTGTCACTTTTTAGTGAAATGACTGTAATCAGCTTTTCTCATCTATTAAGCCGAAACCATGTCTAGTATTTTTATCTAAGTACGATCAATAAAATAAAATAAATTTTTTTATGAGTTTTATTGCACAATCAAAAACAATGATGAATGAACAAATTTATGAGTTATTTTTTCATATTAGATGACATTGTTTTCTATAAAATTAATAAACATTTAACTACTACTAAAATTAATCGACAATAAATTATAAATTTTTTGATAAAAAAAAAAAAATTGAATTTATAAATATTTATTAATTGAAAAAAAAATTTTTTTAATTTAGAACTGATGATCAATGGTCGGCCGACTCTAAAAATGGTCCGAACGATAGTGAAACACCTAATTATGGAGGTCCTCCAGGAATGGATCCCGATGGTCTCATTGAGTCCAATTGGGAGCAGGTAAATAACCTTTAATAATAAATTAATCAATAAATAATGTACATGGTTTTTTTTTTTTTTACTTAGGTTGTCGAGAGTTTTGATGACATGAACTTGAAAGAAGAACTACTACGTGGTATTTATGCTTATGGTTTTGAAAAACCTTCGGCTATTCAGCAACGTGCAATTGTACCATGTGTAAAAGGACTCGATGTTATCGCACAGGCGCAATCTGGTAATATTTTATTATTCAACTATTGTTAAATCAAGTTTTATCTTTGTATTGTAAAAAATATTTTTTATAAAAATTATTAAAATTTTTCCAGGTACTGGTAAAACAGCTACATTTTCAATTTCAATTTTGCAACAAATTGATACATCATTGAACGAGTGCCAGGCATTAATCCTCGCTCCAACTCGTGAGTTAGCTCAACAGGTATGAATTACTGTCAAGTGATTAATTACTTTCCTGATTAAAAAAAAAGTATTAAGACAAAGAAAAAAGTATTGAAAAGAATTGGATTGACTAGAAAACCAATTCTTTTCAATACTTTTTTCTTTGTCTCAATACTTTTTTTTAATCAGGATTGAATTAAAATTGTTAAATTTAATTCATATATATTATTATCAACACAAAATGAAAAAAGTACAGTATTTTTATATTTTTACTAGATTCAAAAAGTCGTTATTGCACTGGGAGATTTTATGCATGCACAGTGTCATGCTTGCATTGGAGGAACCAACGTACGAGAAGATATGCGTAAATTGGAACAAGGCGTTCATGTGGTCGTAGGAACTCCTGGAAGAGTTTATGACATGATTAGTCGACGTGCACTCCGTACCGGGAACATTAAATTATTTGTATTGGATGAAGCTGATGAGATGTTGTCACGTGGTTTTAAAGATCAAATTCATGATGTATTTAAATTACTTCCAAATGAAGTTCAAGTAATTTTGCTATCGGCTACTATGCCTAGTGATGTTTTAGAAGTATCAAAGTGCTTTATGCGCCGACCAGTCAGTATTCTTGTAAAGAAAGAAGAACTTACGCTTGAAGGTATAAAGCAATTTTATATATTTGTTGAGCGTGAAGATTGGAAATTTGAAACATTGTGTGATTTATATGATACATTAAGTATCACACAAGCTGTTATTTTTTGTAATACTCGTCGTAAGGTCGATTGGCTCACTGAAAGTATGCACAATCGTGATTTTACGGTTTCTGCTATGCACGGAGATATGGAACAAAGAGAACGTGATCTTATTATGAGACAATTCCGTACAGGATCTTCTCGGGTTCTTATCACGACTGATCTATTGGCACGTGGTATCGATGTACAACAAGTATCTCTTGTTATTAATTATGACCTTCCTTCAAATCGGGAAAATTATATTCACAGGTAACTTTTTTTTTAGCTTATTATATATTTTTGTCCTTTAAAAATATAACAATTACTAATAAAAAAATTACTTTCAGAATTGGACGTGGTGGTCGTTTTGGACGTAAAGGAGTAGCTATAAACTTTGTCACTACTGACGATAAACGTACGATGAGCGATATTGAACAATTCTACAATACTCACATTGATGAAATGCCATTAAATGTTGCAGATTTAATCTAAATCTGACTATTGGCTATACTTGATTATATTAAAAGCAAACAGAAAATACATTAATAAACCGTAAGTGAAATAACAAGGTCTCAACTGATGGTGTGTAAGTATATTGATTAAGTTGGGTGAATCATATTGCTTGTATAAAGCGACCTTCTAAATAAGAGTTTGCAACACTCTTATTTAGATTACTCTCTGTATGAGTAAAATAGAATTTAGATAATAGTGAGACGTTTTTTCTTCTTCAAGAATTTCCGTTTGACAATTAATCATTTTAGTATTTGTTGCTGTTAGCACTAAATACTCTAATAATATTAATTATCACTATTATTACTAGCAATAATTTTTATTACTTACTATAATATTATATGTTAAGATTACCACAACGGATTAATAAGAAAATATTTGAAGGATAGTAAATTGTTAAACCCATTTGGGTTTAACTTGACGATTAAAAGCTTTTGCACTTTTTGTCAGTTGTACAGGAGTTTTTAATTAGTTTGTCAAAATGCAAGTACTTTTTGCAGACGTCGCTGTTATTTATCTTATCGGAATTATTCTTCCGCTTTTAAACCCTTCCATTTCAACGCATTGCATTTGTATTGATAAACATGATCAATTATATATAACGTCAAATTTTATATCTTCTCGACAACTTGTTTATTTAAGCAAGAATTTAGTCGGTTTTTGGAAGGGCTATTTCAATTACAGGCGTTGTAGAAGAAAATGTTTCTGACTTTAGATAGTTTCAATTTTTAAATATTAAGAGTATTTTTTCATGTGACCAAAAGTATGACTTTAATTAATTATAAAATAATTAGGTTAATTATGCTATGCTATTTTGGTTCGTTGATTAAGATGACTACATGATATGTTTATGTTTTTCCAATTACCTAACTATTTAAATGAATAGACAAACAAAGATCATCGTTAATTTTTGAGGCTGATAGGAATTTATTTAGAATAATATTTATTGTAACAAAAATAACTTTTAACAATTTTCTTTCATTTACGTTATTATTTTATTAAATTATTAATAAATTAGTTTAATTTTTTTTTTATAATGTGAGTTAGAGGCTACTAAATAATAGAAAGGAAAAACTAGTTTTTTTTCTTTAGAAAATAACGATCTGATTCTCTCATGTAAGTAGTTTCTAACAGATTGGCTATTAATATTTTATTTTTAATGTACCTCCCAAAGAATAAGAGAGCAAATGTAACATATTAAGTTTTCTCTACCAACAATCAAATTATTAAAAAATTATCTATATTTGATAAAGAAAAATTAAATCAAACTATTTTATACTTTATTTTAAGTTCTGTTAATTTCTACGAAATAAAAATAGAAGTTGAAAAATTTATGAATCATTAATTATTTCGTATTAAGTAATAAATCTTTAAGTCATTAACGTATGTATTTTAAGTGATATTGATCATGAATAAAATTATTTAATTATTTTTTATTTATTTTCTACTAAATTAAAAATGATATTTGTTATAATTCTTATAATAATAATAATAATAATAATAATAATAATACGCAATATTCTGGCGAAAAGTAAGAAATATTAATATACTAAAAATAAGTCATTTGAATGCTTAAAAAGAAATATAATCAGCTTACACACATTATTTTTCATCCACTTTACCATTAGTGTTGTGAGCTTTTGATAGAAAACAACAATTGCATAACTAATGGGAATTCTGATAAATGTTTAAACAATAATAAGATTGTCAATTTCATAAAAAAAAAAAAATTATGATAAATTTATAAAAAAAAATTCAACTTATAGATAGATTTGCTTATTATACCTGCATATATTAAAAAATTGAGCTATGTATGTATCAAGACATTTATTTATGAAAATGAATAGAATATTTCAACTATAACTTCAATTCAACAATTAATTTATGAGTATAAATACTCACATATATACGCTTTATTTTAACTTTCATTACATTTAACAATATTTAAAGATATACTATATATATTACATAATCTTTCAAATATGAATAACAATATACAATTATTTGTTTTAATCAACGATACTCATTTTTTCCTGTAGAATTTGATAATAGCAAGCCTAAAAAAACAAAAATTAATACCGATTACAGAAAAAGACAAATAATACGGCTTGATTTACTTTTTCCAGTAAAAATTTCAATGGATTATCTTTTTCCTAATTATTTTATCGTATAGTTAAGTAAAATAATATAATGCTGCATTATTAAAAAAATATGACTTAATTTAGCTGTCACTTAACAATTTTTTAATTTTCTTTAACAAAAATATTTGTTCTACAAAATTATTTTTAAAAAATTGCATTTTTAATTTATTAAAATTTCTACAACTCCATTTTTTTTAATAACAACTCCATTTTTTTAATAATTTTTTTTTTTTTTGCCATAATTTATTTATTAAAGAAAATTTTAAAAAATTGTGGTGACAGCTAAATTTAATGTCATTAAAAAAATTTCATGAAATAAAAAATAAGTTCAAACTTTTTCGGATATTTAAAAAAATTATTTTGAGACTTGACCGATTTTTCATAGAGGGTTTTTTGAATACTTATTCTTTGAAATTATTCTATTATTAATTTACAGTATAGATCTAGTTTTATCATTAATTAATTTTGCCAAGGTAATCCATACTGTCCAAATGAAAATTTTACAAGCCCAAGTAAAATATATGCCATCAACATAATTATGCGTATTATTAGAGCATGATTGAAAATAATTATTTTACCTTTAAAGTAGTAAACATGATACCTAATTCACCATTTTGAAAAAAAGGTTCCATAAAATCTTCAATGAAATGACACTCACTACCCAATTGTAGAATACTAGAACGCACCACTACAAAATTGAATACTGGAAATAGCTCATCCATTGTCCATAAATAAGTTATACCTAATTGTTTTTGTACTGTCTATAATGGCAATTAAGAATTATTAATTTTTTTTTTAACATTGTAGACAAAAATGAAGATAATAATTTTTACCTTTGTTATTTGTTCAAACGTATTACGGATAACTAAAAGTTTCTCTAACGGTGAAAAAGTCGTTTTCAGTTGTTGTAAAGTTTCAATTGCCTCAATAAAAAGTGTTTCGCCATTGTTTATGTCCAATGTAATATTAGATTTACTCCAAAATTTTCTATCAAATAAATTATATAAAAGTAAATAATAATTAATCTATTTTAATATTGCATACTTACTGATCAACATCCAAAAATGCCATCAGAGATATGATAGGTTGTTTATTCCACTTTTTCAATCGCTCCCAATATGCATCGTCGTCTTTTTTATTGTGTAGTGCATAAAGTACAAACAACGCTGAATGCACCCGAGGAAGCAAAATTGGATGCAGTATTCCCGTAGCGCTTATTACTTTACTAATTAAAAATATTATCATTAAATTTGAATGATACTAATTTTAATATGGAGAAAGAACTATCATACCTCTCACTTTGATCATCAGACTCTAAAACACATTCTTTATCATCCTTTGGTAGTGCGGGAAAAAACAATGTAACTATCTCATAAACTCTGATAGTTATACTACGAAGTTCTGAGACAGCGTGACTTAACAATAATGGATGAACTCTTACACCCCCATAACTCGCTGTATACACCGATGAAATTTCAATCAGCAGTTTACCAAGAGGATGATGACGACTTTCAAATGCATTGATCAAATAATTATGAATTTCGTTGAACTCGTTAAATGTTATTTTGTCTTTACCAAACTGTGGAATTTTATTAAGTAAATCATTGTTAGTTCTTTTTTCTATATTTTTCAATGAAGATCTATCTTTTTCATGTGACTTATTAATAATGACAGCAACATTTTGCCATAATTTTTGGAATTCCATCGACTTATCTGTTGACGAATTAGCGTTACGAATGTTTGATTGAGGTATACCAAGTTGTTCATAACATTGTCGAAATATCGCTTGCCATTTTTGATCTGGTGGCACACATAATTTACCAAAGGATCTAGCAATAAAAAATTGATAAGACAATAAATTAAATTATTATAAAATACTAATAACACTTACGGTGGTCTAGAATTAGTTTCAATGTTGATACTATTTTTTTTAATTTGTAAAGTTGCTGTTACTTTTACTGGTTCATTCCAAGCCCCCTGGATATGTCCTTCTAAAACGTCGCCAGAACAAAATGTCAAAATACCTTTACCACCGAAAACTCCAACAGATTTAAACTCTCCTTCATAATGTGTTTTATCTTCAAAAATCATCAATCCATGACCCTATTTTTGAAAATGATATTTTCCGATTACTTTTCAAATTAATTTATTTAAATAACTTGAATAATTTTTATTATTTTACTGTCATAACGCCTTGAACAAAAGATCCTTCGTAATAAATTCCATCCAAAGTTACTATTAATCCACAAGTATGTTTATTATTATTACTCCACAAGCCGAAATATTTTTCACCTATAATAAATAATAAAAATTAGTTTAGATTTAATTTACTATTCATTTTATTTATATTGCTACATAATTTTAAAAGTGTAAAAGTTACTAAAGTATAGTTTTTTATTTATCTCGAATACTTATCAACATTTTAAGTTAACTATTTTGGAATTATCGTAACATTCTATTTAAATTTTTTTTACATACACAAAAAAATTCTTACCACTTAAGATATTGTCCATGACACCATATCCATTTTTGACACCATGCATCCATTCTCCGACATAGACTGTAGCAACAGATGCCATAAATTGTCCCTCTTTTTTTACTCCATGTCCATGAGGTAGCCCGTCTTTAAAATATCCTTCATAAACATCACCATTAATGTATCTGCAAGATTTTATTTTATTTATAAAATTAATGGCACATAAAAATGTATAGCTATTTAAGTATTCAATAAAAATATCCACTTGAAGGATCCATATCCATTTTGCTGACCATCTCTCCAATCTCCTTCGTATATTCCTTGGGTAGATACTTCCATTTTTCCGAAACCATGAATTACACCTT